TATGTAAATATACTTAAATTACTACTTTACGAATTTTTCATCTAATTAGGTTACCAAAAGCAGCACAAAGCTGTTCAGCTGACTGTTAAATGACTTAACTCGACCGTGGATCTGAATATTAGTATGGGGATGCATTCTGAACATCTTTTGTCGTAAACAGCAGCATTACTTATTTTTAATTCACATTTAGGGCTCGCGTCTAAAGGATTTGTTTTGAATGAATAGCATGTTACGTTCCTATAAACGTGACCTATTTATTTTAATGAGTTCCAATCAAATTTAAAATACATTCAACTCCTGGACACATCCAAAACCGCCTTCTTTTAGTCGCATTGAACGCTTTCATTTGATGTTTAGAAAACATAATTTTTTCTATGAAACGGTCTGCTTGATCAAAGAACTCGAGGAAGCTTTTAATTACAGTCTTTTTCCTGGGGTAACGGGACCTCATATATTTTTTATGAACAATATTGAATTGTTTGGCACGATAATTCTTGGTGAGGCTCGACGCGCGAACGGCTACCGAATTAAAGCGCTTCGGGATTTCATTTTTAGGGCTCAGGAGTTGAGGTGATGTCTTGGGTGGGCGACGGTGGATGATTAATAGGTTACTTATGTTCTGAAAGGTTTGGGCTGAAGTAGAAGAGCGTAAATGCCTTAGATGAGAGAAAATATTGATTTGGTTGTTCTTAGCCGTTCTTACCTTGATGCTACAGACTACTAGTGTAAATCTGATTACCTATAAACGTAGACTTTTTGTTAAAAAATCATAAAAGATTAAGATGCCTTTGGATTACATATATTTTCTACAATAGTTCTATTAGTTAGCTCAAACCCCATTGCAAACATTTGAAAACTATATAACTCTAACTCTATATAAAAACAATATTTTTGAATCCGCAAATGTCTGACACTTTTCTTGACAAAATCTTGAATCCTAAATATGCTAAAATTTTACTTTCTTTTATTTTTAAATATTTTATTTTCCACTTTTACATATAGCAGGCATCAAAAGTTCAAAAAATCGCCATATCAACCATATATTATTTTTTATTTTGATTTATAAATAACTACATACTTGTTGAGATTTCGGCATAACAATTTTTTTGTAGTCTACGCAAATTCTAATTAAGGTTTATACCAAGTGATAGAGAACATTTTGTAAAGTTCATTGCTTATCACAGGTGCAGAGTGAATATCATATTCGTACGTGAGCCCGGTATCATTTCTTGAAACTGGCTTACTGATGTCTTTTCAGTGCCATTTATGGCTTGGATAAGAAGTTACGCGGCTACTTACTAAAAAAACATGAGCTAGCTTAGGCAGCAGATTTAGATCGTTCATTTCCTGACTAAAGATCTTCAAACCCATTTCTGCGCAACATGTCGGCACTATTTGGTTTGGTTAGCGTTATTTTTATATGCTTTTAGAATCTCCCTGTTTCTATAGGTAATAATTAAAAATCATCAGTTGCATGGTAAAATTTTTTCACTCTTTGATTGCAAAGTTCAGTAAACCCGTTGGGAATACTCATTCAATCACCTTGAATTCCGGCAGTCTTGAGTCTTACTCAAGACAAATATTCTCATTATTAACCTTAACATATATTTCATGACCTAATAATATTCATGCAGTCTTACCAAATATATTACTCGTGTTGAGCTACCCGATGTTCAACAGTAAAACACTTCACGTTTCAGCTCACTGTGTTCCTTTATAATCTACTGCCTGAATCTACTCCTATATAATCAATTAACCTGAAGCGAATTGCTGAGCAAACTACCGTGTATGCAAATAGCCCACAATAGCGACCCCAACGCCTCTTACGGTGCAGGGAGCTGCCTTAAGTGCGTCCAACAAAGTTATAATGTAGCCCCACTCAAGTCCACTAGCTCAACAGCTATATTTGAATACTTATCATCTGAAATATGCGGGTGAATTTTTGGATTTATTTTGGGTAAATTTTAAGTGTACTTAAGAGAGCAGCTATCTTGTTTGCCGGAATGAGGGAGCTCAATAGACCGCATTTAATCCGTGTTTTCTTATGCACCGTCAATAATTCAATTTCCATTATACAAAAACACGCATTCAGTTGCTTTCAGAATTTTCCCCTTATTTAGCATTTTTAAACCAATAATGAGCACACCACCATCACCACCACGCTTGTGAAGAGCATAAGTCGACACTACCTTTCATGAGATATGTTAAATTGTACTCAAGGTGCTATAGGAGTGATGAGGCCACTAATTAAACACGTCCCCTTGCATGGGAGCCTGGGATGTCCGTGAGCGCGGCTGGTTTTCAACGCGCCGCAGCACACAAACGGTAGCGCTGTAATGGCGTCTTCGGGTACAAATAATTCCTCTAATTATGCGCTTCCAGCTTTCCAAATTTATGGAAAAACGAAATGTATTTCAATCAGAAACTCCTACTTTTCGGTACCTAATAGGTTGGTCATGACGCAGGATGAAAGTAAGTATAACATTGTTTAAGTTGTTCCTCATGTACGTTCATCAGCATGATAGGATACCAAATATATTTCCAATTAATAAATATAATATAGTAAGAATATTTACATAAATATAGCGTTCTGAAGAAGTGCAATGAAATTACGTGGCAGCGACAGGAGGGGCACAGCGCTCAGTCTTGTTAAGAAGCGAAAGCTCAAAGAGCCGGAAAAATGTCCTCTTAAGTAAAGTCTTACAGCATGAGGACACTGTAATTAAATTATCGATCCTAATTCATTCCATGCAATTGTTATCCATGATCTTGATACCTAATTAATGATATTATTTTAAAAGTATCATCGTTCAATTCGTAAATCATTGTGTTCGACTGCAGACCACGCACGGATGAGTCTTCAGTATAAAGGAGTCAGGTTTAAGCAGTTCAGGAGTTGAAGAAGTCAATTTCAAACAGTGAAATCAACACAATTTGCATAATATAAATAATTTTCAATTCAAAATTCGCTCCTTGTTCCTAACACGACTTGGAATTTCTGAGCAATTTAATTTCTGATTCGATAAATATTTCTCCCGACAAGATTTCCCTAAAATACCGAAATATTTAGTTCTCTAAACGCTGACGCTGTCATATTCATCTAAACTTTCTAAAGCATGTGGAATGAATAAACTAATGTTACCTATTATAAACTTTAACAATGAAGAAAGTTCCTCGCTAGATTCGAATCAACAAATTATTTAATACGTTTTCAATGAGCAGAAATTATATTTCTTTCACGCAATAGCTTAACATAAGCCAGAATAGCCGATGTTGAAGAATTGTCACAACTTTAATTGAATTATTACGAGGATTCGACGTCAATTAAATAAATAATAAGGGAACGCGAATTGAATTCGATTAAAAATTCAATACTAGGACGGGACCTCAATTAAATAATTAATACGAGGACGCGACCTCAATTAAATAATTAATACGAGGACGCGACCTCAATTAAATATTTAATACGAGGACGCGACCTCAATTAAATAATTAATACGAGGACGCGACCTCAATTAAATAATTAATACGAGGAGGCGACCTTTCTCTACAGGCATTCATGGTCTCTACAGGCATTCATGGTCTCTACAGGCATTCATGGTCTCTACAGGCATTCATGGTCTCTACAGGCATTCATGGCCTCTACAGGCATTCATGGTCTCTACAGGCTTTCATGGTCTCTACAGGCTTTCATGGTCTCTACAGGCCTTCATGGTCTCTACAGGCCTTCATGGTCTCTACAGGCCTTCATGGTCTCTACAGGCCTTCATGGTCTCCACAGGCATTCATGGTCTCCACAGGCATTCATGGTCTCTACAGGCATTCACGGTCTCTACAGACATTCATGGTCTCTAGAGGCATTCATGGTCTCTATAGGCTTTCATGGTGTCTACAGGCCTTCATGGTGTCTACAGGCCTTCATGGTCTCTACAGGCATTCGTGGACTCTACAGGCATTCAGGGTCTCTACAGACATTCATGGTCTTTAGAGGCATTCATGGTATCTAGGGGCATTCATGTTCCCTATGAAGATCAATTCGCTAAACGAGTGTGGGAGTCCAAACGAGTGCTGCGTTCGTTCACAGACAGCCGCCTACTAAATGTAGCGCACTAGCGCTTGCGTTGCTAGAGGCGGGACGACTGTGTATCGCTAGTGTGACAATCGCTTCGTTGCCCGCCTTAGGCGCACGTAGACGCTGCACAGAAGGGCGGTGAGGCCCGTGTGTTGCTCTTGGGATTGTTTGAATATATGTAATATGGTCGCTTCAGCGCACTTACGCTCGCGTGCGCTTTCTGTCTGGCCGCACCCTTAGCTGCGGCCAGACTAAAAGCGAGAAAGCTGAAGCGCGCGGAAGCTTGGAGCGCGCTGACGCGAGCTGGCGCATGTAGGTGGCCAGACACAACGCGAGGTGGCGCGATCAGTTGCAACGATGGCGTCTCGGCGACGGGTGCTGCTTAGTGATTCTTCTTACCTCAAGTTTTTACAATTGCAACGTGCAAATCCTAAGATAGGCATTCATCCCATCAACGCATCACGCCATGAATATGGAGAATACCATCACTTGTTTCGTGAATTGAAAAAGGACGCCCAGAAATTTAAGGAATATACAAGAATGACGATAGAAATTTTCGACCTCCTACTCGGCATCATCAAGGAAGACATCTACAAACAGTCTACCAACTGGAGGCGCGCCATTTCACCAGAGGAACGTCTTGTTGTCACGATAAGGTAAGGAATAATCATAAGGATTTCATTAAACTGCTATACTGGAAATGTCCATATCATACTCTAATACATGACTACTAAGCATATCATGCATACTGCAATTATAACTGTTTTTAATAAACTGTGCAAGTAAAACTAGAGGTAATGCTTGCATCATGGTAGAGGTAATGGTTGCATCATGAATTTGCTTGCTTGTAATTAGGTAGAGATAATGTTTGCATCATGAATTTCAAACTGAAATTCATCCATGCAAGATTGCTTCAGTATCATTTCACTCAAATTACCACTTATTTTTCGTCCAAGCATCTGATCTTTGAGGAAAAACATCATTTTGAAGAAAGGCCATATATACTGGTGTACTCCTCTGGAAGTAATCCAGGGTCTCCTGACTTTACATGGGGAACTTTTTTCAGTTCTGTCCGGGAGTGGTCTCTGAGGCTATTATACTTCTTTCGGGCGACAGATTCTGGGAAAAATATAATTAATTAAAAAGATTGAATTGCATTTGAATTAGGCACAACTCCTATTGAAGTAAAATTATTTAGAGGGCCACTGGTAAACATTTTACAGTCAATAGGAAATAGATATATTACTCGACAATGGTGTTATGTTAAGGTATTCGATTGCAACAAAGATTTTGATGCAGGTTTTTTCTTTCAGATATCTGGCAACCGGGGCTTCGTTCCGGTCTTTGGCATTTCAGTTCAGAATGGGAAGATCCACAATATCTGCAATTGTTACTGAGACGTGTGAAGCGATTTGGAAGAATGTTCAGCCAACTTACATGCCATTTCCTGATAGAAAATTGTGCATGGAAACAGCCAGGCAATTCAATCTCAAGTGGAATTTTCCAAACTGTTTCGGTGCAGTCGACGGCAAGCACATTCGCATTGAAGCTCCTAACAATTCAGGATCATTGTATTACAATAATAAACAGTTTTTCTCTCTTGTTTTGCAAGGTGTAGCAGATCATGAATGTAAGTTCGTCACTGTCGACATTGGTGCGTATGGCAGGCAGAGTGATGGAGGAGTGTTCAGAAACAGCGATCTAGCTAAATGTCTCTATATCAATGCATTTGATTGCCCCGCTTCGCAACAGCTTCCTGGATCTGAAGACAAAACCCCATTTGTCATTGTTGGGGATGAAGCTTACCCACTACTACCATTTTTAATGCGCCCTTACCCTAGACAAAATTTAGACCAGTCAAAGAAAATTTTCAACTATCGCCTATCTAGAGCCCGGCGATGCGTTGAGTGCGCGTTTGGCATCATGACCGCAAAGTTTAGATTATTAACGAAGTCAATCGGAACAAGTGTTGAACATGCAACAGTAATTGTATAAGCCATTTGTGTTTTACACGATATGATCCTAGCTCGAGAAGGCATCGACACTGAAGCAGCAACAGGTGTCGAGGATCACTGTGAAATAGTAACACCAACTGCTGAAAGAAATGGCCCGAGATATGCTATCAATGTTCGTAACACTCTGGCTACTTACTTGACTTCTCCCTTTGGAAGTGTTCCATGGCAGGCATAACTCTAGATTATAAATACAAGGTTACTACTAGTACATATATATAAATGAAACAAAATGAGGTATCATTGGCCTTACCTGGAATACCCAATGCATCACATATCTGCGACCAGCTGTCATTGATGTACTGACGATCACTGTGCTTGGGGTGCGAGGCGTCCCAGATAGCCGGCACGGCTTGGATGGAGCATATCAAAGCTTCGACATCCATCCTCGACGACGTCTCAGGGGCAACTACACGCGCGTGCTCGCGCTTGTATATTTAACTCAACAAATCTACAAGCTTCGAACCTCAGCAAGCGCCGCGGGTGCTAGCGCGAGCGCGCGTCTTATCTGGCCACCCCTATGGGATTGTTTGAATATAATATGGTCGCTTCAGCGCGCTTACGCTCGCATGCGCTTTCTCGCTTTCTGTCTGGCCGCACCCTTATAGTGTAAACGGGTCTTTAGGCGCACCGCGCGCGGCAACGCCTGTAACATGCGCGCCGCGAGCACCACACTCCGGCGTAATATCCATGGCCACCTTTCTATATTCTATGTGTGGACAATTTGTGAGATTGGTAGATTAAAGTAGACATCCATGTAGGGAAGGTGAAACATAAAAATAACTGTTTAAAAATAACTGTAAGCAAACTGAAGTTAGATGGCTGATATTCGTGATGTAGTCGTGGACATGTGGTGGCAGCTGGCACGCAACAAGAAGGGGCGCAGCTGTAGGCCACAAATTTTACTCTTTAAATAAGCCCTGGAGCCAACGCCTAGCTTCACCACGCATCAACTTTACTCAGCCTCAGATAGAAGCCGCAGACTACGCTTGAACTCCGTAATCCAGACAAGCGACACGTACACTGCCGAAAGATATTAGCGCCGTTGGTCTTCAGCCACTGCTTAAGCCTGCTCGCCCATAAGCAAGCAGTTCCTCATCCGGCTGTACCTACTCCGGCCTAACCTCTTCTGGCCTAACCTATTCACGCTGTCCCGGCTCACAGCGTTCTTGCAGACAATGACGTTCTACCAGTACACTTGGACCGCCTTTCTAACTTCTTGCAGCCAATGAGGTTAGGTTAGGTCCGCTCAGGTTTGTTTTGGGTGGAGAAAGGTTGCAGCTCGTATAGGTTAGGCCTGAAGAGGTTAGGCCAGATGAGGTTTGGCCAGATGCAGTATGGCCATGTTTACCTTCGGCAAGCTTATTTTGTGGCTGTGGACATCCGGCGCTATGGCTTTGAGCACTTGACTTCGTATGCCGTTATGCGCTCTAGCATTCTTACCTATGGAAATGAATATGTACTAAGTTTGAAGTATGGCAAAGCTGGCCTCCGGCATGCGCCCCCAACAAGAACAAGTGGTAACTGGTAACAGCTTTTAACAAGTAACAACTAACATGTTGACACTAGTAACAGGCTGAGGTTGACAACATTACACCGAAATCTTTCGTGCAGTTTAATTCTGTAATTCATATTATGTATGTATCATGCTGGTTTTTAAATAATATTTAAAATTATTAAGGAAAATCTAAAGACTTTATCTATAAATGTAGCGGTGGCGCTGTAGCGGCATAACCTCGTATCGCTACTTAAATACGTAGCGGGCGTTACCGTTACCGCCACAATTGCTTAAATGTAGTGCCGCTACCGCTACATGTAGCGTGCTACTGCCCACCTCTGCCGATGAGTCGAGCCGGGATCGAATTCTTTTTGATTGACTTCTGCACTTTATGACGCAGGAAACACATCAGTCACCTAAGAGGAGTTAGAAGCAATTTTGTGGAGTATTATATTGTACTTCCCAAGAATTTTCCTGACATCCTTCAATATTGCTATGGCTTGCTCGGGCGAGTTACTTGCTGCAACGCCGTCATCCATGTAAAATGAGTTATGTATAAAATGTTTCGCCTCTGTACATGACGCATCACATTCATTCTATGTAGTAGCATAACGAAGACTATAGCTGGACTAGGAGCATTGCCAAACACGTGAACGGTAGCTCTGTACTGTATCAGATCGTTTCGCGAGTCGTTATCCTCGTACCAATAGAACCTAAGAAAGTCTCTGTCTTTCTTATCCACGCTGAAGGCGTAGAACATTGATTCTATGTCGGCCATGAAACCGACTTAAGAAACCGAAAATCAAGGAGCACATGAAATCGAACGAAAATTAAGGAGCACATTTTCCAATCGGTTGTTGTCAAGTTACTTGAAGGAGTTTCGAATTCAGACTTGTGCCACAGTATTTCGCGGAGCCGTCGAAAACAATGCGAACTTTTCCCTTTTTAGGATGCGTTACGGGAAAGACGGGTATCCACCATGCCTTGCCTTCGGGAGGCGTTTGTTCGTCGAGCGGAACTTTTTCGATGTGGCCGGCGTCGATGTTTTTTTCCCATAGAAGTAACGCATTGCTGCAGTTTATCCGGATCTACCCTTAATCTGTTCAAAGTATTTCTGGTCCTGTGCAAGACCGCTTGCTGGTAGCAAGGAAGTTTAGGATTTTCTTCTCGGAAGGGCAATGGCATCTCGAGATTTCGGGAAGAATTAACCGTAATGCAACTAGAAATTATGGGACGCCTGTCGGAGACCACCACTGCCGTGCTTCGAATGGACTATCATGATCCCTTTCCTAAAGAACGTAGCCTACAACACATCTTGACTGTGATATTATCAGCCGCACACCAACAGACAGATCACATCAATTGAATTAGATCAATCAGCCCACAGGAAAATAAGCCTGGCGTCGTATGGCCCAGCGTCGTCTGCCAACACGCGAAAAAATTTTACACCACCCGGACGGAGCGCGCCAGAGCCGTCTGTATATGTCCCGTGTGTCGAATCGGCCCACGGTCAAACGGCCACGCGTCGTACAACGATAAATTTTGGAACAGAACTATGCTATCTGGAACCCAACCCCAGATTCTGTGAGAGAAAAGTTACGTAATTTAGCGAAGCTGCGGAAGTAACTCGCCGGCGGACGATAGAGTTTGGAACAGAACTATGCTTTCTGAAACTTAACCCCGGATGTTGAGCTAAAAGTGACGGTCTGGTGGTGCACGGCAGGATGTATGCAGTTCCACTGGCGACCTGGGCTGGTTGGTCGCAGTCCGTTGTCCGCAAGTTACAGTTCGAGCTCAAGTCAGGGTATGAAGTGATGATTCGATGCAAGGTTCAATCTCGATTACTCTCTGGGCTATTCGCTTCAGAATATGGTGGCGTAAAGCTCCTAATATTTAATGCAAGATGATGTCACTGGCTGGTTACCGACGGATGGCTCAATCCGCGGCTGATTGGTGGTCATCCGGAAATATATGCTTGGCGTTCCTTTCAAGGCTGATTGGTGCACATACAACGTAATCAGCAAAAAATGATAAAAAAATTATTTCCAATTTGTCCTATTTTTTACAGATTCAGAGAACAGTAACTTGTCGAATTCTATGTTCGAATCCATAAAAATTTCTAAGAATGAACAATGGCTAGGCAAGGTACTGCGCATAAAACATCACTGAATGCCTAGCTTTTAGTATTTGATAGGTAAACGCATGCTTAATCGTTAACACTGAAATTTATAGCAAAATGAATGCGAAACAAATTATCTAATGGTCACAGAATTAAAACTCACTCTGATTGCGTCTCTATCATAAAGACGTGAATGAACACTGAATAGTGGACAGATGTGAAGCGGAGCACAGCCGACTTCCAAGTCAAAGTGGGCAATGACGTGCAAGAGAATAAAGCATGACGTGGAGAGTCTCTAAACTGAAATTACAAAATTATCGCAGAACTATCGTTGCATGAAAAGTAAAAAAGGCAATGGGATAGTTTTATCTCTATCCAAGCTGTAAATAATTGAATAAAACGAAAGGGAAATTTCGCAGGTGCGACACTGCGCCACCTCTTGTTCTTTTCCACTCTTTCCTATAGTGGCACCGCAACAATAACAATTTCAGTGAATTTCTACACAAGAGTGAACTACCGGCCTCAGAGCAGCAACCTGATACACCTTGGGATGGACTTAGACGACGTATTCGGACTACTCAATGAAGAAGTCAATGCCTTGGGATCGGATGTAACCCCGTCTTCGCAGCCATGCACGCAAAGTGATTGTTAACGTCAAGGACTTGGCGAAGAAAATGAGCGCCATCGCTCACGAAATACAACCACAGTATCGCTTGATGTCCACACACCAAATGGTCCTTGAATACGAAAACGGCCATAATGGAGGAGCGACCCATTCCACAACTCACTACGCAAGGAACCTCCCTTGTTACCGACGAGATTTTCTCCTTATTCAAAAACTTATATGCGCGAGTGGCAGAAGGCCATCCGTAATACGGAAATGAAACTAACATAACTATGGAAAGAGGAGTTGAAACTTCAATTGAACGGCGCAAGAGTTGAGTGGCGTAAACTTCAAAGATGGAGTTGTTAAAAAATTGAATAGCAACGAAGAGGCATCAAAATTGCTGGCTAAAATTAAAACACAGGCTCTCATATCAAATGCCTGCTACTAAAACAAAAGGCGAAGAAACAACTAGAAAAAAAACAAAAAATAAATAAGAAGCTAAAAGCTTCGGCTCCAATCTTGGAGCCAAATAAACATTAAGGAATGATGTTCATGTTTCATGTATTGGTAGTTCTCGTCCAGCCGCCTGAGTTTGACTCTGTAAACGCTGTTCACGGAGCCAGGACTACCGGCTAGAAGAGAATGCGGGCTGGGTGCTTGTGGTTTCCCACAACGGCTTATATGAATTAAAACTTGCATCTTAATCTCCATCTTTTCTCAAGCGTACCTCTATTTATAGGATGGAAGCCAATTTCAAAACAATGCGTCAGCTCATCGGCAATAAATACTAATTAGCTCATAATTGTCCTCTAACTATTCACTACTAGAATGCTCTGGTAGTTTTTCACACTTAAATTTCCTCATAAAGTTCTGCAGAGATTATGCATGTACAGTCCATTTACGGGAGATTTTGAAACAGTTTCCTGCATAAGACATGATGTATCCACTCATCAAGTTGATAAATTTATCTCAAAATCTTGATGTGTCCCGCGATTAATTGGAGAAGTGAACATTTTCTGAAAACAGGACTCCAACAAAATTAAATGATTATCAACATATACTCCTATTCCTCACCGTCTAAAACTACGTGACTCCTGAAATGGTTGACCGAATATTAAGGCGAAAAGCCAAGTCCATGTTGATATTGACGTTTTGGTTTACGGCAAAGTTTTCGGCATACCAAGCAGGGATTCCAGCGAGGTGTAAATTGATGTCGGAACGGGCATGGCTC